AATTCTCTACGAATTCCTTTATTGAATCGGAAATTCTGGAAATTTTCCTTTTGATTTCAGGATTCAAAGTCTTCGAAGTTCAGCAGCTGCCGATATTTGGAGCGACTTTTGGTTTTCGAACATAATTTGGTGATTCAATTTTGGCAGCAGTTGGTGGCAGACTCATTTGAATTAGTTTGTTCATATATTACAACTGTATGTGATTTTGCGATAGGGAAACTAAATTTTAATCGTAATTTTTCATTCAATAATTTTTTAACTATAATTTTTCAAAACTTTTAAAGTCAATGAACGAATAAATAAGTATCTACCTTTTGAACAATGTTGTAGAGTTTTTTAGATTCTTTTACTTTTATATTCTAGAGAATTCTCCTTGATTTTTTGTAACTTCAATTTGAGATAATAATTACGATTCTGGTGGGGTTTTTTTTTTTTAAACTTCTCAGGAAGTAGTTATTCTATGCTGAAATAAGAATTTATGATTAATATTAAATCAGAAATGTTATAAAAAATTCTAACAAATAGTAAATTTCAAATTTTATTTTGCAGTGTAATTCCTTTAATTTATTTTGGAATATTAAGTTATATAAAGAGTGAATTTCTTAAAAACATAAATCAAAATTGGTTAATTAATTTTTAAAACAACTATTTTTAGTACATTATTTTTGTTAAAATAATTGAATAACGTAGAATAAAAATTTGTTGATTTTTTCTTAAATTTATTATTTATAAATTCCAGTAAGTTATCACAGGGTAAATAAATTTAATTCTTAGAGCGTATCGAATAGTTATTTATATTTATGTATCGAATTCTCTGAAATGACGACTATTTTATCGTTATATAACGATACAAACTCTATACAATTACATTCCAAGATAATAAATTGCTTAAAAAAATTGTACAGCATCTTATAATTTCAATAAAGCATTTATTTTCAAGTTAATAAATTACGTTACACTATATATCTAATTAAGATCTCAAAATAATATTTTTAGTATTCAAAACTTTCTTCACAATACATAAAATAAACCCTAAAAATTTAGTAACATATTTAACTTAAGATCAGGATTTTTTTCCTTCTCAAACAAACGATGTTTTAAAATTTTGTGTAAATTGAGTATATTTAGAAATGTATCAATATTAGTATCAATCTTCGAACGACATGAAGCATATTTGAATATGTTCCTACTCATTTTATATAAAACGTGCAAAATGAATTTGAACTAAAGTGAATGAACAAAATGGTTTAGAAATAAATATTTATATTTTTTTCTGTTTGTTTGAGAGGAATAATAAAATATCTACATAAATACTTTAATATAGAAAAATTATTTGAATAAATTAATTTTTTTGTTATTTCGAACAAATCATTTTAATTCGAAAATTTCATCAGACCATCATCAAGGATTCAATGCACACAGCAATGAATTTTTTTTCTCATTTTATATTTTCCTCTACTAAGTTTTTTTTTATTTTACTTATATTCCAATATAAAACTGATTTTGTTTTGGCAATCAAATTAATTCCTTCGCAAAAATTAATTACCAGTTCAAAGTATAAAAACAATTGGCGTTACAAATTAAAAGATATTAAATAGTTCACTTCTACTATACTTCTTAAAAATCATTTGCATAAAGAAACTTTATAAGGATGTCTATATTCTTATTTAAAAGTAAAATCACAAACTTTAAAGTCCATCCTTACAAGAATAAATGATAGTTTCATCATACGTGATAATATGGTGTTTACTTCATTATCAAATAATTTTCAAACTCACGCAAATTTTATTCAAAAAAGCAAAGATTTAATTAATAATTTCAAAACTGGGAAATCAATTTTAGTAGATTATTCAAACATCTGTTACAAGCTTTACAGACATTAAGGGTTTGAAAAAGGGTGGAATTAGGGGGAACAGCAATAATAACGATAAAAAGAAGATAAAAACCAGTAATGGAAATACTTGTGTTTATTAAAAGAGTTTGGAAAGTAGCTCATATAAAAACGCTTTTTATTAATTGTCTAATTAGGAGATAAAAGTTATGAAATATGAAAATCTAAGCTTCAAAGGATGATTCGAGAAAACATGACTAATGAAAGAAAAGTGCTGAGGTTTATTTATTCTTTTTCCAACTTTTTCCGAACGTTTTATTACAATATAACTATATTTGTTTTAAAATATAATTCAAAATGAACCAAAAAATGTATCCTAACATATTCCCCCTGTCTCTCTCTCTTACTCACACATATATGTACATGAGGATCGTTAGAAATTCCAAGAGATGGTGCATAGCATCGAAAATGGCGTGTTTTTAGTAATCATCATGACTCATTATAAAGCTGTCAGCCTCAGTTAATTGAATTCGTGATTGTGACGCCTCAAACATTTTTCGCCATAACTTTTCCAGTTGATGATACTACTGATCTCACTGATGGGGATAACAACTCGACGCGGCAGCAATAAAATTTCAATTTGGCAGCAAATGACTATCAAATCAAAACTATCAATCAATGCCAAATCTCAGAAATAGTTTTCTTTATACATACATACATACATACATACATACATACATATATATATATATATATATATATATATATATATATATTATTGTTACGAAAAAATTCCGAATGTGTGGGAGTGAAATCAGTCCAACAAAGAGAATAACAACAAATATCACTTCATTCACTAATCTTCAGGATTATATACAAAGAAGGGTTCGGACAATAACGGCATGAACAGAAAACACTAGAATTGTGCAGATTAGTGAAGCAGATAGAGGAACAGAAAGCTCTTTTACTGACAGTCACAGTTATATCAGCAACGTTCAGCTCATCAGCTTCTGCAGTAATACTCTGCACTTCCAGGGTAGACTCCGACAATTTCCGGTGGATACTCGCTGCTTCTCCACAAATTCATCCGGAATGCTTCACTTCTAAGTGCCGTCAGCTTCCAGTCGATTTCCGGATCGACCTCCGCAACAGAGACTTCAAAGACAAACTCGTTCTCTCTTAGGCTTTCGGCGTATTTATACTTCTTCCGGCTAGGTATGACGTCACATTTACTGTTTTTGGTCAGCACAGTTGATGCTCCCCCCCCCGGGTTACCCTAACGATCTTCTTGTCAACCAATTTGTCTTTTTTCCAATTTTTTTACACGTCTAGACCACAGTTACAACTGGTTTGGAGCAGTTTAGTCACATCTGGCTCTTACACCAATAATCACCACTTTCACTCACTCACACTCACTACAGTAATTAATAGGTGCCCAAATTCTGATTTATTGCCCCTAAATTGCACTAACAGAGCGTTGGAAATGTTCTTTCATTTTCTGTCTAACGTCAGCAAACGTGACGCTTAACGCACGGACAACTTTTTCATGACTAAATCTTGATTCAATATGTGACAAATACGTTCTTTGGACATATTTATAGCCTCTGCTATCTTTCTCACTTTAATTCGGCGATCGCCTAGCACTATTTAGTGAGCTTCAGCGATGTTATCATCAAAGGCTGCAGTTTTTGGAAGTCCTGAACGTTCGTAGTCTCCCAAGCTGATACGGCCACGTTTAAATTCAGCTTACGTTTACATTCTTTAGCAAGGTGATAAATGACGGTGCAGAGTCCCCGAACACAGCGTCCAACTCATCTTAGATTTGCATAGGCTTATTGCTTTTCGAAAACAAGTATTTAATGACAGCTCAATACTTGATGTTTTCCATTCTCACACAAACACTCACATCGACTCGTTCAAGGAAATATCCTACAACAACTGCGCATCCAAAATGGCTGAAATTTTGGTGAGAACCTATCAAAAGATCCGCGACCACATTCCTTTGCTTTTATTGAGAAGTGCTGCCATCTTTACGTTAGAGTCGGAAATTTTTCATACAATCCTCGTATATATATATATATATATATATATATATATATATATATATACTATGACGTATTCCTTTTACTCATAATCCTGTTATCTTAAATGTTACTCCGAACACAAAATTTAAATTTCTACTTAAGTATAATTAAATTGTCAATTCTATTCCAAAATAGAATTCCTGGTAATCTTTTTTCTTTCCCATGAGGTTTACTGTATTTTATAAACACGGGTGACGCGCCCCCAGGTTACCCAAGCGATCCTTTTCTATTTTCAATCCTCCTTTTTGTCAACCAATTTTTGTCTTTTTCAATTTTTTCACGTCTAGACCACAGTTTAATCTTCTTTGGCGCAACATAGCCACATCCGGCTCTTAGACTAATAACTTTACCATTCACTCACTCCCTCACTCACTCCAAAATAGAGTTTATTTACCTCTAATAAGGAGAAGATACTCTCAATCTGAGTAAATCACGTAGGCACACTTCAAACTAATACTCTTCCCATTATTATAATTTACTGTTAATTATTATTAGCTAAGGAAAGTTTTGCGAACAACCTATGCTACAACACTAATTTTTTTCAAAGTAGTCCTCCTGAACTGCGACACCCTTTTTATAACGATTGTCATTGTCGCAAGCACCGTTGGAGCGGCTTTTTTGAGATGCCACGTGCGATGAGAAAAATATTATTAAATAAGATTTTATTTATTAATTTAAAATAAGTTATACAAGATATGCAAAGCAAATTGCAACCAAAACTAAGACTATCGCGAATTCAATTCAATATTTTTCAAATCAAATTCGGCCCTTCGAAAAGAAATATTTATTTTTCAAAGCGCAAATTTCTTCAATAAACATTAGTATAAATTATAAATACTCAGTGTAAATAGACAAATAATTAAACTTTAGTATTTAACTTAAAACTATTATGTGAGTGTTTCTATATTAAAGATTTTACAACAAACTTATGTGGCCGTAGGAGACTGGTGGCCATCGTTGTGAATTCGCGGCCAGAATTGTTTCCGTCGGGTCTTGGATTCGCATTCTGATGGATGACACTAAAGATCCGCCGTACAGTGAGACCGACGCATGTTAAGTCTGTCGAGGCTCTAAGTACTCCTATTGGCATAGTGTGGAACTGTGGAGAAGTGTAGAGCTCAGATGTCCTCCTTATCGTACTTTTGACTAAAGTTCATATTTACGAGGTCTGTCTTAAGAATTCCACCTCTGTAAGACTATAGGTGAAATTCTTGGACCGCCGCAGGACAAGCGGCCGTGAAAGCTTTTGCCAAGAATGTTTTCATTGAACGCGCAAGAATGTTTTCATTTTCTAAGAACGCGAAAGTCGAAGTTCGAAGATGATTAGATTCCACTCTAGTTCTACCCATAAACTATGCCAGCCAGCAATCCGGTTGCGTTTGAGCAACGACACGCGGGGCAACTTCCGGTAAACTAGAGCTTTTTAAATTCGGGTGAAGTATGGTTTCAAAGCTGAAACTTAAAAGAATTGACGCAAGGGCATCAACATGGTTTGATACGGCTGTTCAATTTGATTCAACATGGGTAAACCCACCCGGTTCGGACACGGCAATGATTAACAGATTAAGAACTCTTTCTTGATTCTGTGGGTAGTGGTGCATGACCATTCTCAGTTCGTGGGCATGACTTTTGCCAATAACTCCCGTGTTGCTTCTCAATGCGATGTTAATAAACAATCAATCACAAGCGATACGCTTGAAAAATGATTTTGGAAATATTAAAAGAAAAGTGAATTAAATCTGCTCAAGGAATAATAGATTTCGATTAAATTTCTCATGATTGTGATTTTTCACATTTCTTAGAATTTGAAGGAAATTAATAATTTCAATGAAATTTATATTTGTGACGAGAATAGTTAGATAGATAGAAGTTAAATGTAAATCAATTCTATTTTGTTAATATCCACTAAAGCCTCGGAAAAAATTATTTTGGCATTATTTTAATATTCTAAAGTAGAATATATTATTTTTGAACGGTGTATTACTTAACTGTAAGTGAATTTTTATACGATTGCAATAATTTTGTGACTGGATTGGTTTGGTTTTCAAAATAACAAATTTGGTTTGAAAAAGTGAGAATTTAAAATATAAAAATACTTAAATACTTACAAACCAATATTTTTACAATGATAAATTATTTTTTTATATTGTAAAATTTTCCTATAAGAGCGAAATTCCAGTCTACTTTTTCAAAGTAATGCAATTTTTTTACTACCAAAAAAGATTAAGAATAAACTAAAAATTTTAAGAGAATTTCCTTAAAATAGTACTCCAATTAATGTTCAAGACATTTATTATTTGTTGCATAAATGTTTTTTCCTGATTCTTTGAATTCCATTTCAAATAATTGTTCTTGTAATCTATTATAACTAATCATCTTGCAAAAAACAAAAGAAAAACATATTTACTAACACATATCGATCACACTGTGCTCAAACTGAAAGGGTGAAGTTGGGTCAATTAACAAAAAAGAAAGAGGAGAAGAGAGAGAGAGATGTTTGATGAGAGATGAGTTAAAGATGTCCTTAAATTATTATAATTTATTTAATATTTTTCAAGCTATCTGAGAATTTGCATGATTTTAAACTAACTCGATAAACTGGCTCGGAAAAAAAAGTAAGATTTTTGAGAATTCTGCATTTTTTTAATATAAGATATTTTGTTGAATATAAGAGGATTTAAGAATATAATTCTCAATATTCCTAATAATTACTTAATAAAAACTCTATCAGGTTACATGAGAAAAAAAAAGAGAGTAAATTTGGTGTATAATTTTTTTGAATAATTCTGTATTTTCTTAATGACAGTTATTACAAAAGATATTTATTCTAAATTTTTTGAATAATTTAGTTTTCCCAAATATTTTTGTGTAATAATTAGAACTTGTTAATAAATTTCCTTTTGTCCAAATTTATGGAGTTTCATAGATAGAATCCTTAAATATTACTTAAAAAAATTTATAGTTACAGAAAATAATGTAGTTTAAAAATGAGCTGATAAAAATAAGCAAAACATGATACGAAATATTGTATATTAATATCTTTTAAAATGTATATTTAAAAATACAACTTAATAATTTTTTTTTAAAACTGATTATTCAAATATAATACTTCTTATTGAACTTATTAAAATACAATAACTAAAAAAATTCTTAGATATTTTCTACAACTGTAAACATCAACTAAACAAAATAAATGGTATATTATTTAAAATAATTTACCGTATATAATCGTATTAAGTACTTAAAAGTACTTCTTGAATAAGATAAATTGATTCTCTGTTTTTCTACTTCTGAAGATATAATTTGCCATTTTGTAATTAAAAATTCACAAAAATTTCCTCACTTTCAAAATTTACTTTTAAACAAGGCTCATTTCATATCAATATTAACAAAAAAAAATTTCTCCACTCTTCGAGATTAAAATTTTTTAAAATTTTTCGTGGTTGTTCTAAAAAAAAATGTCAAAGTTCGTATGAATTTGAAAAGATTAGTTTTACTTATACTTTTTTATATATTTAATGCTAAGTTTAATAGTAAGATGAGAAATTCGATTGCGCGTGATATTATATTACGCTCATAAATTCATTTTAAAAAATCGTCTGTAGAAATTTATTACACTTTTAAAAAATCTTTTAGATTAATGCAAAACTTCACTTGATGTTTTTACTGGATAAAATCAAATTCAAATAAAAATTTTAAGTAAAAGAATCTTCAATTTATATGTAAGTGGAAATCTGAGAAATCAAAGATAGAATGACAAAATTATTCAAAATATTAAAATATTCGTGAGAGCACGATTATTTTTTGTTTTGTTTTGGAATCTTCAAAATATTCCTTCTTAATCTAGCTTCCATCTTGAAATATTTTAGAATCAAACGATTTTGAATCTGCAGAGAATCGCTATTATTTTCCATTTTTCTATATTTTTTTAGTTTTCTTTTTTATTCCACTCAAATCTTTGTAAACCATTGAATATGTGGAACAGTTGATCATGTTTTATATTCAGCATTTTTGATAAAATCTGGAAATTTATTATTATTGAATAAATTTGATATTAAGTTTAATTAAATATTTTAATTTGATTGGGTGTTAGAAGACCAAACCTTCAAGGACTAGTTCAATCCAGATATTTATTATTGTTATGCTTGCATTTAATTTATGTTTGGATATATTTAAGAAAATATTATTATTACTTCAGTTATTCAATTATTATTACTATTTACTTTAATGACTTATCGTCTTCTTTAGAATGAATTCATCATTCTCTTTAATTTAAGTAGCTTATTTCTAATTTTTGTTACCTTGGAATCTTCTGCTTTGATTAGTTATGTTGCTATAGTTCATATATATATATGCCTTGTGTTAAAAATAGCACTCACCAAATGTTACGCCTCATAATTTTTCGTGCGTAAACAAATAAAGCCGAGAAGTCATGCTTTTGTACATGTATGCAGGCAATGCTGATGTTTATGCGGGAATTTATTCCTTCCTGAAAAATCTGTTGGCTGTTGTGAAAAAGTGTAAGTGAGCTCCAACAGATTTTCATTTGTGATAAAATCACACAAGAAAAAAAACGAACTTGAAAACTTTACTACATTACATTTATATAAATCTTGGTGATTCCAAAAAGGAAATGATTCAGATGCATTGAAATGGAGGGACGCAGCGATCAGCACTACAAAAGTAGAGAAGTGGTACAACTGCTTCAAAGATGAAGGCAGATTATTGAAGAGTATCCTGGTAGGTTCTAAATATCCAAAATGAGATGGTCATTGACCAGATGGGAACCCTGGCGGTGCATGATCGTCGATTCACGATCAGGAAACTTGCAGATGAGATGATTATCGACAGCAGATCCACTTATTCCGTTTCGAATGAAAATTTGGGACTTCAGAAGAACCTAAGTCAAATTGCTAATGAATAAGTAGAAGGAATTCCGTCCTCAGATCACGTAGGACTTACTTGAGATTGTAAACAGTGATCCTAACTTCCTCAATTCAGTAATCACTGGAGACTTGCTTTTATGGGTACGACTCAGAGATCAGATTAAAATTATAACAATGGAAGAATCCAATATACCCAGGTAAAAAAAAACAAGACGAAAACGCTATAATGTTTAAATTCAAGCTGACCAGCATTTTTATAACAGTGTCGTAGTTCATAACGAATACGTAAAGCACAACCATCCAAAAGGAGTACGACCAAGAGATGCTGCTTCATCTTCGAGAATCTGAGAAGCGCAAACGGCTGGATCTGTGGGCAATTGGCAGCTCAATTACGACAATGCACTTATCTATTCTTCATATTTGATGCAGAATTTCTTGTTGTGAAGAAGTACAACACTCCTGGGCTTCGTCATGCATCTTACTCCCCTAACACGTCACTTCTAGCTTTTCCCTAAGTTGAAAGTGGTTCTGAAAGGGGCCAGGTTTCAGTCTAAGATGACATCACGCACAGTGTGTATTTCAAAAGAAAATTTTGAAATTTCTGTAAAATTACTATGTTGATAAGCTTGCAGTGGGTTTAAATCGGATTTGACGGATAATTTGATAAACTAGTGGAGCAATAGAATTTTAAATTAGCGCATTTACACTCAAAGGAAAATATTCAGTACTATAATAAAATTAAATCCCTTTCTGTAGGCAGTCTCGTTTAATTCACACGCGCACCAACTGTAAATAGGTGAACTAATTCTTTTGTTGTGTGTACTTCCCATGCCATATTCCCACTTCGTATTAGACAACAAAATAATTTAGTAAAAGTAAACATGTTTAATCATTCTAATAACCTGGTGAGAAATTTGTAATTTTGCAATACAAAAGATTTTCCGAAATGAAGGCAACAGATATATATATATATAATTATAAATCTTACAGGCAGATATTTATAAATCTAGGAGCATGTAAATTATGCAGAAAATCGAAGTTATTGATATAAGTAAACAGAAACAGCAAATTAATTAAAAGGTTTAAACTTTTACGAGATATTTCAAATAAATTACTGATGCTCTTCGAATTCCTTTGTCGAATTGTAAATTCTCGATGTTTTCCTTGCAATTTCTGACGCTTGCAAATCTTTAATATTCAAAATAGTTACCAATAATCAAATCAAATATGATTTGAGAGTTTAGTGATTTTAATTCGCCAACATTCGATGGAAATTTTGCTTAAATTAATTTATATGTAGATTACTTATAATTTAGAAAGATTTCGTTTAAAAAGATAAATTTTATCCAGTCATTCATTTACATTGAAGAACTACGTAAATAAACGGTCATATTTTGCGCAATTCGTCCCGATAGGACTATTTCGCTTTCGAAGTGAAATTAATTGATTTTAATCTTCTGAAACGGGTATTTTTCTGAATAAATAATTCTGGTGTAACATTGTTATCAAATTTTAAGATGGATTTTGAGATATTTCATTTCTATGTTTTTCTCGAAATTATTTTGTGGTGGAATTACATAAGTTCATTTATAGAAAATACAGTAAAATTGGTAATCCGTTAGAAATCAGACCAAAGCAACACTGGATTATTGGTAAATCACTACTAATGCATTTAAATAGTAAAAGCTATGTTTATAAGAAATATTTCAGTTAGTACATGCGAATAAAGCATAAAATACTAC